CTAAAAAGTGTGTTGAAGGTCTCAGAAGAATGGGTTTCTTCATGGAGATTTTTGTATTCCTTTGAGTAGTTAGACTCAAGAACTTTCTTGAATATGACTTTTCTCTCATTAATTGCTAATCCCCAAAGGGGCAAACCCATAGTCTATGCTGAGGAGCTCAGCTGYGTCAAAACAGAAGTTCTGGCCAATTTTACGCATGTGATGCTTCAGACTTTAATACATTCTTTGAGATTGGGTCCAATCCTTCAAGATTGGGTCCCATTGGGTAAAGAGCTAGATGTGAATCCTAAATTTGGAATGATTTGAGATCTGAATTTTAAGGTGGTCTCTCGAATTTGGTCAACTTGCCTGAAGGACACTACTATCGATGGAGGAGGAAGAYGTAATCTTGGAGATGGTGTGCTAGCCTGATTAACTTGGAACAGGCTGAAGGCAGCAGATGCTTTCCACCCTGCATTTTTCCAGCTTTTGCTGCTAGGAGAAAACACAGGCTCTTTGAGTTAAAGAGGAGGATTTTCTGTTATGCAGGGTACAGGCAGATGAGGATCCCCTCCTGTAAAACAAAGCCTGTGCATGTTGCCACGCAAACTCTGTATCCCTCTTGCTGGATGCCAGGAGGAGCCAGGAGATTGGATGCTCACACAGATCTGGCAGGAGATGGCAGATCCGCTATTTCTCAACTGCCATCTCAAATTCCTCTAATGTTTTTATTAGGAAGAAAGTAGCCAGCTTTGTGTCTCAGCCTGAGTTGTGAGGGTAAAGCACCAAATCTGTATCAGTTCCTTCGTGCTTGAACTTTTCAGATGAAAAGAAAACCCCTTCCTATCTCTTAGAGTCATTATTCCTGCTGTTTTTTATCAAGTCCTTTGCTGGCCYTTCTTGTTATGTCTAAGCTGAAGCTTCTAGTTTTCTTTCTTTTCTCTTTTTTTTCTTTTTCCCCTTGACTCACGAGGGAACAAGAGACATATTTGTTGCTATGACTGTATGACTGCCTGGCTCCGATAACCAGCTGTGGCCCTTGCAGAAGAAGTCACCCAAGAGTGTCCTCTGTACGCCAAGYCTTGGAGAGCAGTGGCATCACGTGGGTTAACAACATGGGGCTTTGACAGGCCCACTCTTGCCCCTGACTTACCTGTCTTCCTCTTGTATCTGAGTTTAACAGTATTTGAGTGAAGGAGAAACATGGTAAGAGGGATGCTGGYTGAATGCGAATGATCGGTGAACCTCAAAGGACTTGGTCTGGGTTTTTATCCAAAGCACTTTGATCAGGAACAGAGCTCTTTATGCTGCTGGAAGTGTGCCCAGAGGGAAGGCTGAGCAGAGGTTCATTGCTTAAAATTATATATATTTATATTTATGTATATATAAAAATATTATTTATATTATATATATAATTATATACATYATATAATTATATATAAAATTATATATTATATATRTTATATAATTATATGTATAATTTCCCCTCTGGTGGCCACCTTTTCTTCAGCTTAGCAGATACTGACATACATGGAAAGCAAGTTTCCAGGATTTCAGTGTTGGTTGTCATTAGCCCATCACTACTGCTCGATTTTAGAGATCTTCTGAAATGCCCTTCAGCAGTCGGAAGAGTATGCTCCCTTTGGAGAGGGCTTGGATTGCTTCAGGGAGAGCAGTAGTTAAATTGAAAAATATATCTTTTTTTTTTTTCTTTTTCTTTTTCTTTTTTTTCTCCAACCAGCATACTTGTTTAACAGAAGGAGATTTGCACAGAAGTGTGTTTCTGTGCATATTGTTGTTTCCCCTGTCTCACTGCAGAGTCTGAAGAGTACTTGCTGTTGCCTGAGAAACACCTACTACAATTAAATATAGAGTCAGTGTTGGTTAGTCAATGGGCTTGAAGCTATGTCTGGAGACGGTTCTTGCGTTCCTGCTTTCTTTGCTTATTGGGGCAGGATTTGCTCAGCAAAGGCTCATTGTAACTTGGCGAACGCTGCTAATGTTGCATGTCTAATCTGTCGTGAGCGGGGACGGCTTGCTCGCTTTGGCTCCGCGAAGGCAGAGAGTTGGATTAAATTGTTTAAAGTAGTTAAAGGCTCCCCACGGGTGTGTGCGCATAGGAGTGCATGTGCGAATGCTGCATTTCCATCTGTATTTCCCTGAACTGCYGGCCAACGCAAGTAGCTCCTGTGCAAGACCAGCTCTTTGGAGGAGCTCAGAGGCACCCTGATATGTTTTACTGTGGAGCTTAGCGGTCCCTTATGCGCTTGTCTGTTTGCTCTTTGTATAATACTGTGTTAAGATCAGGCTTCTGGTTAAGATAAAGTTGCATTAAGGAAACACCTGTGGCTCACTCGGAGCTGTTTGCTTCCTTCAAGAGCTGGGCTCTCCTAAAGGAGCTCCTCCATGTATGACTGTCTGAATTCTGCTCCGTGTGTGTCCTTGCTCTTGCCGTCTGCTGTGTTTATGCTCTGGGAACCCTTGGCATGCTGGGATGAAGCTGGTAAACCAGGAGCTACTTCCTCCTCTGTGCAGCTCCGATGGGCAGGAACAGGCGTAAGCAAATGCCCAACTGCAGAGGCGAAGCCTGTTTGGAACAACAAGTCTTGAAACCCTGAGAGATGCTAGTGCAAGCAAATGTCCACAAGGCCAGGCAGTCCCCATCGTGCGAGGATGATGCAGGTGACATGTTGAGGTGGCAGGGTCTAGTGCAACGGGTTGACGTCATGGCCTGGCCTGAGGAGTTGCTCTGCAGCCAGCACCTCCTCCTGGACATTGGTCTAGCAGATCCCTCAGCCCCGGGGCTGCCCTGGGTCCCCACAGTCCGTCTCGCCAGGCCCCTGTTGTTGTCCGTGGCCCTGGTGTTGCTGCTGTGGGCCCTGCTGGGTCCCAGTGTCCCGTTGCCGTGGGGAACTGGGGCCTGCAGGTGGGCCGGCTGCTCGGAGYGGGCCGGGGCGGCCGCCTTCAGGCCCTCCCAACGCCCTTGGGGGTTTGGCTTTGGAGACCACCCTGGAGTATTATGATTATTAGTATTTTCCCCTCTCTTTATTGGCTGTGAAGTGCAAAGACACCACGGCAATGCTCCACTGGGATGTTTCTGAGACAGAAAGATTTGGAAGATTCTGCAGAGAGAAGGAGAGATAAAACATTTATTAGAACTGTTTAACCGAGGGTCATTTTACATTCATTTCACTCGATAGCAAATGGGAAAAGCATTTGTGAGCGCAGCTTAAGACCAAAAACTCATTCCTGAGCACGTATTAATCTTAAAAAGGCATAGGGAGTGTGTAGTTTAGCTTGCAGTGCCGAAGCCGGAGGTGGTCTGCACTGCTCTCCTGCTGGCTTTGCCTCGTGGGCATGCAGGGGCACGCAGGGTGTAGGGGCACCTCTAGCTTTTCTGAGCCAAAAGCGCCAAAATCACACAAGAGCACCTGAAACGGATGGCAGCACAAAGCCACGGATGCCAGCCGCAGTCCCGAGTGGTGCGTCCAACATGTCCCCCCTTGAGTGCAGCCGTGGTCCTGTGCGTGCGCCGCTGACCCCGTGTCTCTCTCTGCCTTCTGGATTACAGGTGCAAAGAGCTGAAGTATGCCAAGGACCTCCCCCAGATCTCCATCATCTTCATCTTTGTGAATGAGGCGCTGTCGGTTATCCTGCGATCGGTGCACAGCGCTGTGAATCACACACCCGCTCACCTCCTGAAGGAGATCATCCTTGTGGATGACAACAGCGATGAAGGTAAGCAGCGTGGTGGGGTGATTGGACATGGAGGATGTGCTGGCTGGTCCTGGCAGTCCGGCTCATCCYGTTCTGTTTCTCCAGCTCCTATAGCACAAAAGCAGCGGGGTTATACCAAAGTTAAAATCTGAAATTTTACTCTTGTTTGAAAGTTTAGTTAGGACCTAGAAGACTAGAMAAGGATACCAGAACAAATTCTAATATTTCTCTTTAGCATCTGGAATCCTGGCTTCATCTGTAGCTCTGGTTTTAATAATGTTTTGGTGGCTATAGAGTTGTGATGAGCAAGACCCTGAAGTCTAGTGATCTTTTCCTGTCCTGACTCCTTACAGTGGCTTTAGCAAGATATTTTCTGTGGGCATGCCTCACTTTGTCTGTCTRAAAGAAAGTTCTAAGCACTGTAAATGGCTGGGGCTCTGTCATAGTAGAGAACTGATCCTACCGGCTCCTATATTTCTGTTACAAGAAGGAAAAGCAAAGGAGGAAGAGGAGAGTGAGGCTGTGGCAAGCTCTGGCACAAGTTATAGTGTATTCCACACTCATATCCTCTAATAGAGCTTTATTTTTTGACTTTTCTTAAAACACCTTCCTTTCCAGGTTTTGGTAATACACATCTGTGAGGGGTTTAAGTCACATGTAGAAGTATTTTTCAGACAGAAAGAGAGTGTGGCAAGAAGAGAATTTGTGTGTCTTTCCAAGAGCAGGCCTGCGAGGTTGTTCTTCTGGTGGTGATGAGATTGAAAAAACAAAACAAAACAAAACAAAACAAAAAAAAAACACCTCAAGTCTGTAAAAAATAGGCACTGGAGTACCACACTAATGAGTACTATAGAAAGCTGATGAATTATAATTACGATAAAAGGAAGAGGAGACCAGTTCCTCTACTGGCAGAAGTCAGTGAAGCTTTAATGAAGCTAACGAACACTGGGGTGACGTGCGCTAGTGCGGCCTGAGATTTCAGAGCTGGAACTCTTTAGCTCGCTAAGGACAAGTGTAGATGATCTGTGTTTGCAGTTGTTGGCATTGCCTCTTGCTTAGATGGTTAGAAATAAAAACATGAAGTGCTGCTCCTCCAAGTTCAGTATCAATGGAGTGAAGAGAACACTCTTTTAAAGAAAAGCCACTGGTTGTGATTACTGAGCTTCTCTGCTCACTGCTGTCGACAAAGAAACAGGTTTCTAAATAGTCCCCACCAACCATTCAGGATGCAGCACTGAGGCTAATGTTTTGTCAAGTACTCTAGAGATGCTTATGAAAGGCATAGGACTATGGAACAAATCCTTTCAAAACGCATCCCCCCCGTCTTGAATAAGTGGAGACTGCAGCTGGCTCTGAGAATATAAAATGGAACCTCTTTCTTTATCTGCTGCCAGGAGGCCAGGCATCATCTTTCATGGATTGGCTATGAGGAGGACGGCGCTGGTGGGGTTTGGTGGAGAGGCTRGGGGCTAGATGGCAGCAGGGTCAGTGAGAGGAGGTTTCCAAAGCTTGGTAGTGTGCTCAAGGATTTCCAGCTGTGAGTGGTTATGTGCTTGTTTTGCCTGGGCTGGCCAAGCTGTCTGTTGTGCCCAAATGCCTTGTAGTACCCATCTACAAACCCCATTCAGGGCTGTGCTAAGGGTCAGGCGACAGCTGAACACCCAGGTGGATATGTCCTCAGGAACGCTGTGATGCAGAAGTAAAAGTAGAGCTACGTGAGGCAGCATGGCAAGAGACCAAGGAGATGATGTTAGCTGGTAGGGTTAGTTAATAACATAAGCACTGCTGCTTTTGAGCCTTTATAGGCATCATGACAAATGAGACTTTTAAGGAGGGATTTGGAGGAAGCTAATGAGGGAACTTAGCAGATGTTATGGAGAGCTCCTCCCAAGCACACAACAACCTGGTTTCCTCCTGTAAAAAATGCTACAAACCAATGCACGTCCCTAGGATKGGCGCGTTCACCCACTGCATAGTCGAGGAGTCTCAGTGACGTGAAAGAATTATTAATGGCAATAATGTTGTCTTATAGTTCACATTAATGGCGGGAAGTAATTGTGAGCAGCAGTAGCAACATCTTACAGTTGATGCTGGGGATATTACAAACAAAGTAGTTGTAATAAATGGGTTTGATTGCTACAGGAAAATAATTACAGGAAAATAGATTCTCCTGAGCTCTGAGATTTCGAGATGAATCCTGGAGGTGCGCGGGTGCCGAGCGGAGGATGGAGGTGTGTGGGGGTGTGCCTGGACAGGCTGTGCCTGAACAAGAGGGGGAATTAGCAGAGCCTGCTTGCGAGGGGCTGTGTATATCTGCGAGAATATTTATTTGGTGTATGGCTTGTAGCTGTAGCCCAGTTCTCCAAAGCCTCGGTTTGTCTGCCCTTCAGGTACACCTCYGACTAGTCACACAGTGAGAGCAAAACCTGTGGTGCTTTGTGGTTCTAGTGTAGCACAAACAGCTTCCAAAGCCTCTGTAGACTTTTCTCTGCACTGGTCTCATCTGACGACTTCATGGCTGAGCTGTAAATAGATACAGGTATGAATATATTGTAATGAAATGAAAAACCCTCCTTGAAGGGAAAAGCTTGGGGAGTTGTAGACTGAACCCCTCTCCTCCCTTGAGCTGCACATTATACTTTGTAAAGACTCTTCTTTTTTTGTCGTCTGCTTTTGTTTGTGTTTGCTGTTGCAAGAGTGTAATTACAAAGACGGTGTGCAGGTTGTGTTTCCGAGTGATAACATGTTGCCTAGGTTGTTGGAGGAATACAGCAGTATGCCCCTGAGATGTTGTGTTATCTTGCAGTCACACGCTTTGAGTCTGTTGCTTAATCATCACTGGCTTTTTTACCATCTGTTTTTTAATGTTTTTAATCTGGGATAATATCTTTTTGAAAATAAAACCTCAGTATTAGAAAAAGGCTTCTGATAAAAGACTGCTTAAATTAGCTGGCTACATTCGGTGATATGCTGCTGGTTGTAACTGACCTCAGTGCATCATGTTAGCTGTGACTAGATATATCGCTTTCTTCTGCAGCTCGTTGCAGTGGCGACGGCAGTGGTGCTTGTACCTTCTCTTGGGAGCCAACTCTTACCTTTTGTGTGTGCATGTTTAAAGCAGGGCGTTAACAGGCTAGTGAGAAGCAGAGTCCTATCTCTTCTTCGTATGCATCCATCCAGCCCAAGGTTCTCATTATTCCTGGTCCTCAAACTATAGAAGAGTTGCTTAATTGCAGGTCACCTGGTGCTGCCCCACTTATGTTCAGGTCTGAATTCTTGAGACCACACCTAGGGGCAGAGAATGGCAAACCTTGCTTGGTTTTCTCTCTTACTTTGGATTTTGCTGAACAAAGTGAACCTAAGACTTGATGCAGAATTCACCTAGCGGGACCAACTTTTCCTATACCCTTATAATAGAGTTGATTTATGCCCCAGCTCCCTTTCTCACAGTTTCCTCCTGAATATTTGCAAGTAAACACAAGAAGCTTTTTGAGACCTACCTAGCTCTGAGTCTCACTGCAAAAATTTTATCATTTGTTTATTGCCTGTTCAAATAATTTCTTGGGAGTTACTGCTGCAGAAAACCTAATTATCATCAGTTTCATGTCTCAGGTGAGAGTGAAGGAAGAGATGCCAGGCAGATGGGTGTGCTGGTGGCACAGTGTACTGAGTACCTGGTGGACCTCGTTGCCTTCTCCTGATTTTCAGTCCTGAACTAAAGAGGAAAAAATGCTATTACACTGTGCAAGGCAGCAGTGGCGAGAATGGCAGCAAGTTACGTGAATCGCACGATGTTTTCTGCCCTGCTGCAGTATGCAGGAAGCCCTGAAAATAGCAGATGCAAAGGCAAGGCTGCTAGTTTGTGCAAGCTGACTTTCTTCAGCAAGCGTGTTCGCTTGTGCCCCTTTGAGGAAGTGATTTAGTTCCTGGTGTGCCATTTCAGACCTCCTCGTCATCCTGAGCAGTACAGATCTGGGATATTTGCAATGATGATGAACAAAACCTTTCTTAAGTTGATAAGATGGGCAGAAAGGTTTCCTGCTGCTGTCCTTAACACAGCAGCCCTCGGCGCTGCAGCCCATAGCTACCTGTTCTGCCAGTGTCGTGTCAGGGCAGCGTCAAGTTGTTTTCCTGATATGCTAATGGCACTCCCTCAAGTGACTGCTGAGTGAAGGAGAACGCAGGGTAAAATTAGGAATCACTTCAAATGACTTGGATTAAGATTRGATTTGAGAGCCTGTTCTGATTCACCATGCACCGGAGTTCACGTGGAAGCAGAAGAGCACTTCAGGTCTCCCAGACTGCTCACTGCAGTCCCCTCTCCCACGCTGCTGCAAAGGGGAGGAGAAAGGGGCCAAGGCTTGATTTTCAAATGGGAATTTTTCAGAACGTTCTCAGGGACCAGGATTTCAAACCAAATCAAAACCTGTTTTCCAGTAAAGATGAATACCCAGCAACCCCTCCATTAGGAACTGCCTAGGGATGTAATGCAAGGTAGTTCCCACCGAGCTGCCTGTACGCTGGCCTGACCTGGAGCAGAAGGGGACCCCAACCCAGCAACTTGTTACAGAAGACTTGGGACCAAATCTCCCATGTCCATTTGGTGCTTTCATGTCTCTGAGGGCTTCTCCAGGTGCACGTTGCACTACATGGCGCCCTTGTAGTGCATTGCAGGCTGCGGAGCGGGTGTGTTTGCTGGTGCGTGGCGAGGGGAAGGCAGCTTAAATGATGCTGATATTAGGATAATACAGCCCTAATTTGCCAGTGGCCTGGGTTCAGAGCACACGTGTGAGTCCTGCTCCAGCTCAGCTGAAGGACAGTCACGTCGTGAGCCCTGGAACGCGGCTGCTTTCGGTTGCACGAGAGCCGCCAGCAAAGCCAAGTCCTCCCCTCTGCCTGCTCCCCAGGGACGGAGTCTCGGTCACTTTGCGCTCTTAGCAGAGAGGYTCTTTACGTAGCAGTATCCAGCCTCATATTTTTTGGAAAAAGGAGCAGGCAGCTTTGGTTTCCCTTGGATTTTGTGCCTAAATATTGCACAGTCTGATTGAGATAGSAATTTCTCCCTTGGGCTTTACCCCTCGGTAAACTCGTGGAATTAAGTTATGCTTCTTCCTTGTTTCACTAGAGCTGTGCTCAAACAATTCGCATGAATGTTTTTCCTGTTCCCTTCTTTTCCTTCAACTGCGAAGCTTTAAAAYGGCAATTTGAAAGTTGTTTTAATTGTTTGGTCTAGGCTGTAATTCCATGGTCTGCAGCATTAACGACCTGCCTCTTGACAAAAGCACGTGAAGCGCAGATACTGTCCTTGTGGGGTTTTATCTGTCAAAAATCTGCGTCTCTGTCTCCTTGAAAACACTCGAGAGATGTCTCCATAAAATACTGCTTTTTCCATGAGTGGCTCAGCATGAAATGGAAGTTGCTGAGTTATGTATGTACGCGATGCAGATGCTCTGAATTGAGGAAGGGGCTCATTTACTTTATTCTCTTTATTCCCACTTCAACATGAAAGAGAGATGAGACTTTTGGGAAATTGGTATGTGAGAGGAACAATCCCAGAAAGGCAGTCTGAGGAAAGCACATTTTCTGTGTCTGGAAGAAGGCGTGGAAGGAGAGGGAATAGATAATCCCGTTTCCTTTGATGATTTATCTGGCTAAGCCCAGCAGATGGGACTTGCATTTTGCTCTTTTGTTCTCCATTGCTATGTATTGTCCAACTAGGAACTGACTCCATTGCTCCTAAGCCTTAAGTATTTTACCCTGTGAATTATATTAATGCAGTGTGTGTGTATATGTTTGGGTGTGTATATACGTATATATTTCACCTCCATGAGGGGGTGTGTATGATGGGTAGTAGCCTCTCMCCTGCGGGCACCGACCTTGCTTGAATTTCCAGGAGTCCTTGAACCTCATATGAGTGAAATATATTCTCCAAAATGACTGGGTGTCCACAGGCCACGTTGGCAGTAGACCCGCGTGCATTTAGATGAAATGCTAGGAATTAAAAGGACCAATATTGCTGACAAAGCACTACAATAGCTAGGCACAAAATGCCATGTTGCTAATGGGAAACGGATGGCTCTTTCTGCAAGGCTGCCTARACTTTGTGGCTGTTTAGCAGAAATTTGGTAAAATGAATGAGACAGATGAGTGTTTTGCTGTCTACACTGTGTGTTTTTCAGCGTTATTAACTTGGACTGAGCTGGAGTCTCAGAATCTCAAAGATTCAGTGCATTCTGTGCACGAGTTTTTTTTTCTTTTTTTTTTCCTTTTTTTTTCTTTTTCTTTCTTGCATGCAGGTTGCTTGCAGCTGGACCTTAAAGCAGAGCTACTCAGATGTGTCTAGCTTGGCGGCTTCCCAGATATTTTTCTCATGGGGCTTCCTTTCTACCTCTGCGCTTTGAAGACCTACCTTAAAAATGGAACTTTAGGAACTTCTTCCAAAATTTTGAAAAACATACTGGTGTTTTCTGTTTTAACCTTTCATATGCTTCCATGTTTAAAAATTCATTTATGTTCAGTAGAGAACTAGTAAATACTTGCATGTTCAGTACTGAYAGTGGCTGTGGACTGATGGATCTGCTGTGTTCTCAGCAGTAGCACAAACACAGGGGCTTAGGCAACAGATCTGCAKTCCCCAGTAAGGAGAAGATATCCCATATGAGGAGCTTCTGAATAACTCCAAAATCTGTTTCTTATGTCATAAAAGCGGGGGAATTTCAGCTTTTGTGGTGATAGCACTTGGAAAACATACAGCAAATGCTAAGAGTGTAGTAGTCAGGCTGAATAAAAAAGGGGTAGTGGAGCTGGCGTACACAGTTTGGTGTAGTTTAAACTACTTCAGGTGGCTTTTGCAGCATTTCTAGGAGTGTCTTTCCCCTGCCCCGGTATTTTGAGGGAATCAAGTTGTCATCTTGCTGCCCTTCACCTCTACTGAGGGCACCTGATTCCTTAGGCATATAGAAGGTTCCTGGCAACCTTGAATTCCTTTTAAAGGGGCTGTGGTTAGTCCACCATCAGGTCTATAAAACTACTGGTTTGCAAATTAACATTGATTCAACCTAAATGAGTTGCAAAAGACTGTATCCCTCCCAGGGATGCGGAGAGATGTGTTGTCCTGGTAAGTTATGTTGTTATCCATCAATAGATGATCGGGGCCTGGAACATCCGCGCTATGAGGAAAGGCTGAGGGAACTGGGCCTGTTCAGTCTGAGGAAGAGAAGGCYGAGGGGAAATCTGATCAGTGTCTATAAATACCTCAAGGGAGGCAGTGAGGAGGAGGGGCCGGCCTCTTTTCAGTGGTGGACAGCRACAGGACTAGAGGAAATGGCCACAAATTGAAGCAYCAGAAGTTCCACAGGAACTTAAGAAGAAATTTCTTAACAGTGAGGGTGGCAGAGGCCTGGAACCGGCTGCCCAGAGAGGTTGTGGAGTCTCCTTCTTTGGAGATGTTTAAAACCCGCTTGCATGCAGCCCTGTGCCATGTGCTTTAGGTGACCCTGCGTAAGCAGGGGGGTTGGACTAGATGACCTCTGAGGTCCCTTTCAACCTYAAGCATTCTGTGATTCTATGAAATGGGCTGATTTTGGATAAGAAATGTTGCTCCTCAATGGGTCCTCTCCTCCTCCTTTTCTAGATGAGCTGAAGGCGCCCTTGGAAGAATATGTGAATAAACGGTACCCGGGACTGGTGAAGGTGGTACGCAACCAGAAGAGGGAAGGCCTCATCCGAGCTCGTATCGAAGGCTGGAAAGCTGCCACTGGCCAGATCACTGGATTCTTTGATGCCCATGTGGAGTTCACTGCTGGCTGGTAGGTGCTGAACCTTGAGGTCTCATCATGCTAGTGTGTGCGAGATATTCTGCACTCCAAAATTTTGTAAAGAGAACTCTGGAAACGGAATCAATGGATTACTCATCCTGTCTTTTGTAGGCATGATGGAGATGGGTTTGTGTTTGGACTTGATGGTCCTAAAGATCTTTTCTGAGCATTGTGATTCCATAATCTTCCTTCTGTGCCAGATTTCCCCTGGTGAGATATGGTGGGACGATCCTAGGAAACTCTATCCTTGCCCTTCTTCTCTGTAATCACTTTTCTCCATCCTTTTACATACCTTTCAAACACACATGCTTCGTTTGTGTTTTTATGTTGATTTTCCACTTCRTGAGCCCCAAGCAATTTCTGGAAGTTAAAAAGAAAAAAATARAAGAAAAACAAAGAAAAGAAGTAAGAAAAGATCAGAGAAGGGGTTGAAAGAGAGTCTTTCCTGCTTCCTTTTTCTGCAGCTGCATCCCACTGGGAAAGGCKTGTGTTTTAGACTGATTTGTTTCTCTGCAACTAAGAGTAAGTGCAAAGRTGCAGAAAGGAAATGCTCTGTGTTTAGAAACTGGAGGTAGAAGTGGCTCTACCATATGTGATTTGAACAGAGAAAAACATCCTCAAGGAAGAATCCTTCAAAGGAAGAACTCTGGGCAGTTACTGAATTCTTCATAACACTAATGCAGCTGAAAGACATTTAGAAGACTGGTTCTTATGTTGATACCTGTATTCCCTTTTAAATGTACCTMTCTTCAGGTCATTAGGTTTTCACACCCAATTTTATTGATATGCATRAGGAACTACAGTTTGCTGAACTGTTTCAACAGCTTTTTCTAGAGATAGGAATTGAGCTTTTCTGTAGTGTGGACTTGACTCACTCTTTCATGTACCCTCTGCTTTCCCAAGCTCAGGCTTGTTAAATCACAATTTAAACAATAAAAAAAAATAAATAAATAAGCACTGGTTTTGGCCGACTTTGCAGAAGATAAGTTTTCAAACCAGGCTTCCTGTGTTTCCCTAGCAAAATGTGGGCTGCATTTTCATGCACTAGGTCAATCTGTGTGTGAAAGCCCAGGCAGTTACCCTATAGGAGCACATCTGCATTTTGCAGAAAATCACTCTATATGCAGTAGAGGTACCCAAAGAGCAGCCATGCTGTGGCAAGCCAAGGGCTTAAGTAGCCTGCTGTTATATCACAATCAACATCTAAAACCCTAGGAAATGTATAAGAGCAGGAGTAGGATGTATGATACTTTGGAGTACTCTACCAGCCTCCAACTATTTGCAGATGTGAGAGAGTCTTGGCTTCTAAGTACTCAACAACCCTTCTTGTATTCACTGTGAGCTTTTATCTCCCCTTGAGCTTGCGTAAACTTTTGACATCCACAGCATCCTTTGGTGAGGAGCTTCCCAGCTGAACTGCCAGCCATGTAAAGGGCTGACTCTTTTTGTATATCTTTGAGCCTCCTGCCTGCCTTTTTCGTTCGATGGTCCAAAGCTCTTGAAAGGAAGGAGTCACCAGGTACCTTCTCTGTGCCTGGCTGTGTAGTCAGTCCACGCTACAGGATTGGCCCTTAGTTATTATACTGTCGTATTTTTTTTGTTATCTTCATAAAGATCTCAGGAAAGCTCAGCGTGAAACCATGGATGTTTATTTTGAATTAAAAAGCTAATAATAAGGAATTAATATTTAATGGTGCTTTTAAAGCCAGCAAACTAGTGAAAACAGGGAGTGCTAACTCTGCAGGAAAAGGTAGTTTACAGCTTTGGAGGTTTTCATTCATTTCCATAGGTTAAGGTCTGAGTTTGTGGAAAATACGTCTGTGCTTGCACTGATGGTCTCAGCTGGTCCTCGAATTTTGCATAGGAAAAGTCAATTGCAGGAGAGCCATAAAGCTCTCTCCAGATAAATGGCGTTGTGGCTATTTCAGCTCTAAATACTGTGTCTGTCCCTGTAGACTAGCCGGCCGTAGCTCCATCCATGATGGGTCCAGGTGGGAAATCTCATGAGGCAGCAGCACAGCAGCCTCTTGCTGCATCTGTGCGTGCATTTCAGGAGAAACTAACGGCCCCTTCCTGCCCTCTGCTTCCCTTTGCCCCTAGGGCTGAGCCGGTGCTCTCGCGCATTCAGGAGAACCGCCGCAGGGTCATTCTCCCCTCCATAGACAACATCAAGCAGGACAACTTCGAGGTGCAGCGCTACGAGAACTCGGCCCACGGGTACAGCTGGGAGCTGTGGTGCATGTACATCAGCCCGCCCAAGGACTGGTGGGACGCCGGCGACCCCTCGCTGCCCATCAGGTAGGGTGCGAGGCCTCAAGGGCCACGTTGGGGCTTGGGATGGCGAGCGGATTTGGTACCGTGCAGAAAATATTAGGGAGAAGCAGCAATTACGTAGAACTGTGCAACCGTGTGTTCAACTGCGTATGGCAAAGTTGCTCTGCTTGTGGAGCTAAATTTTTGCAGATCGTTAGAAACGAGGTGCTGATTCTCTTGTAACAAATTAATGTGTGTATTTAAAAGGTAAGCTGCTGGGCCTTCTCAGATGAGACTTGCTGTAAAAACAAAATAACTTATTCTGATGCTTGGGCTTATGTGGTCAGCGAGCTCTGCATCTTTATTCCCTTATGGACTTTAGGCACAGGATGGGCTGGTTTTAATAGAGCATAAGTGGAGAAATATCACGGTGTAGGTGGAGAACTGGATTTGCTTCATGTGAGGAGTCCAATTATGTTCTCTTGATAGCCCCTAATAACAAAGTGACCACCAGAGCCAGCCAGAAATGGAATATATTACCCTTAGCTTGATTAATATGGGGAAAACTTGTTCCAAGGCGTGTAACAGATGCAGCTGTACAAATGTATACCTGATTGAAATCCAAATACCTGCACTTTGGTCAACAATTTAATCCCTGGGAGCTGATGCTGGATCTATTTGCATTTATACAGCAGCTTTTTTTTTTTTTTTTTTTTTTTTTTAATTTCTCCTAGCTTTGCTTCCTTGTTCCAGGTGTCCCGTAGAGCTGTTAGTGCAGGAAGGGATGGTTTATGCTGGCCAGGCCTCAAGCCTTTGAGAGAGAGACAGTCATTTCTAAGCAAATGCCAGGGTTGTTAAAGGAGGGGATTGACGCCTGGGGTRTTCGGAGGTGAAGCGGAGCAGAGGAAAAACCTGAGTTGTGTGTGAGCAGCGTGGYTGCAGTGGCAAAGCCCTGGGCAGTGTGATTTCCCTGCGGACAGACTGGATCCTATGGAGGATCAGGAAAGTGGATGGTCCCTGGGAGGARCTTTGTTCAGCCTGTGGATGTGTCACTGGGGAAATTATTGCATGGAGAGGAAGGCACTTTTATTAAACTGAACTGTAACAGTTGGGAAATATGGGCAAGCTTTGAGCACAAGGCTGTGAGTGGAGACRTGGCTCCAGGAGCTTCCTGTCATTAAAAACCAGCGGATAAGAAGCACTGATGAAACTGGACCCACTAAAATGAAACATTTAAATGCCTGTCATGACATTCACTTGTATTCTCCTTTCTGAAACTTTATTTTGTTCTTTTTGTTTGTTTGCTTGAAGTAAGCCAGAGTGGAGACAGATCTGGAAGTGCAGACTCGTTTGCAGAAAAAGATGGTGTTCAATGGCAGAGCAGAGGCGATGAGGGTGACAAAGTGGGAAGGAGTGAGCAGTGGAGAAGGGAGGGAGAGAGCTGTGGAGAGTGGGGAGCAATGGAAGGAGAGCTGGGAAGAGGGGGGATGGTGAGTGCAGGACCTTAGCTAAGGCAAAAGAAAAAGGCAAAACTCAAGTGATTTACTTGCAGAGGTGGATGTGTTAAAGCAGTGGGAATTAGGTAATAATAGATAGGAAAAAGAGCAAGGAGCAAGTGTTCAAAGCTGCAGAGGCAGGACAAGGAGGGAGGCCACGTCCAAGGAAGGGACGGGGGGCAGATATCACAGGCGGATCGGACACAWCCTGGTGATGAGGCAGGGGAGAGGGCCCTGTGAACTGGCGTGGGGGCCGTGGGGCCCTGCGTGGGCGAAGGCAGCGGGAGGGAGGCGCCGAGGGACCCTGTGCACCCCTCCTGGCGGCACCTGGATGCTGGATGTGCCGCCTGGCACCTGGATGCGCCGCCCAGCGCCTGCCCGCGGGCTCCTCGGCCTGCTGAACAGCCCGGGCCCCGTCCCGAGACATGGGGGCAAGGTGAGAACGGGCTGCTCTGCAGCCTGCTTCTGGGTTCTGCTTTTTTGAGACCTGACGGTTGCTCGGAAATAGGTTGTGGACCAGTATGACTTAAAGGAGAGGTGTATGTGGTAGAGGGAACTCGCAAGGAAGCAGTTCYAAGGTGCTAATAGCTCGGGCATTAACGAAGAGAGGTAGGTAAAAGCTGCCTCTGATGATGCAGCCATGGCAGAGGGGTCAGATTGGAGGTCYTGGCTTTGGCCCTGCCTCCCCGGATGTGGATGCCGTTATCAAAGGCACCTGCTAAGGCCGGGAGGGTWGATGGGGTCACCCGGCTGCTGGACACCTGCACAGGGTGCAGGTACCTCTCTTTTTGCCTGGCTTGACTTTGAGCTGGTCAATGGCATTAGGCTTGGAGCAGGTGTTTGCTGCTTTACATATGTCAGACCTGCTGCTATAGAAATAACATGTTGGCCACAGAAGTGGCACATTYGGCTGTTTTTTCAGCAAAATGTCATAGGTTGTTATCCTGCCTTTTTTTTTTTTTTTTTGGTCTTTAAACTATATGGATGATAAAGTATGAGGGAATATTGAGTCTTATTTCTGCATTAAGGCCATTGCAAGCTGCTACTGATTTCCTCAAGCTGGAGGTGAGCGAGGTTTGGCAGCCTGCTCTGCAGTAGCCGTGGTGCCCCCGTCCCCCCTCATTTCAAGGGGTGATGTTGGAGTGGCTGGTGTCCCGTGAAGCCCATCGGCTCTGGCGGACACCACAGTCTCAAGGATCTGCCTGCTCATCTGCTGAGCTGAGATTAACCAGCAGTAAGTCAGGACGTGGGGATACCTGGAGACCTGGCTGTTCCATGGGATGAGGTGCAGTTATCTGCTCGTGCTGTCAGCAGTGTCAGTAATGTGGACCCAGCTGCTCCAGGCCGTGGTGTGTGGAAGCTGGGATTTGGGGGTTASAGAGCACGGATGGAAGGGTGGTGCCTTTGGAAAATTCCAAGATCTTCTCAAGCAGGCACCGTAGCCTCACAGTGATATTAAATAATTAAACAACTTACTAAAATAACATTGTTAACATGCACTAGGGAAAGATTATGAGAAAGATAAATGGGTAGTGTCCACAACAAAAAGCTAATGAAAAATACTGTCTCTTCCCATTATGTTGCATAACCAGATACAGACCAGAAATAAATGACTGCAGTTATTTTTTATGTCATATGAGGCTGTGGCAGTATGCATTTCATGGCAATATTTGCATGAGAGGGATGCTAGTGCAGAGCTCCATGTAATTATGCATAGAATTAGAGGAAATTTCTTGAGTTATAATATACAAAGGTACATTAGTTTTCTAGTGACCTTTTAGTATGAAAAATGGGGAGAGAAGTAAGGCAGTTTCTTCCTCATTTGGTYTGATGCTGTTGGTGCATTGGGATTATGAGAGCCCCAAGAAAAGTCCCTGTCATTGCTCAGAGAGGTGTCTGTGTGGGGGATGCTCTAACGTGCTTGCAAGCTGCTGTGCATCAGGACCGACCAACTATTCGGCTGCAGAGACTGGAGACAGCCAGCTGTGGGAATACGTTTGGAGACGCTTTTCCCTCATGGATAATTCACAAGACATAATTATCCAGGCAAAGAGATCCGATGCCTTGAAGCGCCTCTAAAATATGGCCTAGTCTCAAACTGGCTCCAGGCTCCCTTTTTATCCAGTAATATCCCCACAAGGAAACGGTCTGCCTTAATGACTAGGATGGATGCTGGAGTAACGCAGGGGTTYCAGAAAATGTCATCTTTCCTGCTTTTCCCATTAACATTAACAAATTTGATGCACAAAGATATACTTGTTCGTAGCACTGAGATGCATGCAGGTGCTTTGGAAATGGTCTTCCCTTGGCAGGCTTAGGAGTCGCTGACTTGCTCTTCCCAGAAGATAAAATTGCAATTGCCGTGCAACACATCATACCTAAATTAAAGTCCCAGAAGGGGAAGGCGGTAAGTGATGTAAGAAACATTCATCATATAAATCCTTAACTTCATAAAATGTACTCCCATGTGGTGGTTCTGATTGCCTAGTCCAGATAGCATAGACATGTGCCAGGATACCTGGACGTCCTTGGTGTTAGCAGATGTAGGCAGGATTTATCCAGTCCTTTGTTATTAATCATATACCCTGGATGAGTTTRCTGAGAATCCAGAAAAGCTGATACTTTCTGTGTCCTGCAGGAAATAAATAAATAAAATCCTTTGGAAATGCAGTGCAAATGCAGGTTATCTGGAAATGGAGCTTGAATCTGCCTTGAGGAATGATTCCTTTCACAACTGGAAAGGCATGTTACTAATTTATTTTTCTTTTTGGGGTTCTTKGTGTATGGTCCCCTATGCTGCTGCAGCACAAAGGCGCTGCTAGTCCCAGTGCCCCTGCTGTCCTCTGCCTGGCTCCTCAGGTTCACACYGCGTGAGATTATGTCAAAAAGCAGCTTTGGAGAAACTGCTGCTATCTGGAGGATTTAGGGCCAGGCTTGCTGGTCGTGTTTCCCTTGCAAGGCTTGTGATTTATAATTACATATGGAAGATATCGACAGCTCCGTGGCTGAGACTGGTGAAAACAATTAAATGCAGCCTTGAATCTGTCCCTCTTCAAGAAGCCGAGCGAKCAGATAGTGCATCTTGAGCAGCCTTGAGGAAGAGGCTCAATTACTGAGCGTGGAGCTTGGGGTCACCGTGCTGTCCCGGTGACTGCATGTCACATAACCCTCCAGAGAGCTGAGRCGCTTCAATCGCTGCTGCTTGTTGGTGGGTCCATGGCAGTGTTGGGACCCCATTGCTCCCAAATAGCCATAAAAAGACTTCCTGGTCTCTCTGGTGTTTTTCCATACTCAGCTGAATGGATCGGGTCAATCCAAAAGGATGCTGAGCAACTTCAGGTAGTTGCAAAATGCTCCTTTGTGCGTCAGGGCTGAAGGTGAAGACCTAGGGTGGCTTGGAGGTGACAAATGGTCCTTTTTCCAAGCAYGCAGTGAGCAGAGCGCCAGCTGTGAACCAGCGAGCAGGTTAAATTGGACTTTGGATGGGGTTTTGTTGCAGCTGTTTTACGTAGACTTAATCTTTAATGATTTTGGAAGACAAAGGCTCAT